CCAAATATGTTATTATTGTTGTTGTTGTTGTTTGGGAACAAAAAACTCTAGATAGGAAGCAATTTCTTTTTTAGGCCTGTGTGGTTTGATACCAAATAATTATACAAAAAAGTGATTATCTCTTTACTTTAATTCTCTTTAATTAATAAAATCATTTAATTAATTGGTTCATGCACATTACTATGTTCATATAATATTTTTCTTTAGGTATTAACCTTAGTTATTTCTAACCTATAATTGTATTTTTTTGAAGCAGTCAGGTTGTGGGATGGCCACCAATAAGGACTTACAGGATGAATAGTTTTAATCAATCAAAGATTACAAATGCTGATCATCAACAAGAAAATGGGAACAAAGAAATTGAGAGTTCAAACAAGAAAATTAATCATGGAAATAATACCAAGAATAATGATGTAGATTTTGTAAAGGTGAATATGGATGGATTGCCAATTGGAAGAAAAGTGAATTTGAGTTCTCACATTTGCTATGAAACTTTAGCCAAAATCTTGGAAGAAATGTTCTTCAAATCAACCAAAACTACTAATTGTAAGTTGAGATATCTATCATAGTTACTAAATTGTCTTTGAAATGATCTTATGGTGTTAGTTCTCAAAAGTTATGTTGCTCGGACTTTTCAAAATGACAATAGGTACATGTTTGATTCTTCAAAATGTACTGCATTTTTGGAGGATCAGGCATAAGTGTGACAATATTTTTAAAGAGCCCAAGTAATATAGCTCAGAGACTGAATACAATTACCGATTAATAACTTGGCTATAATATGGATACCAGCCTTGATTTTCCACCCAACGTCTGATATCCGTTTGAGATTTTGATTAATTATAAACTCATTTAACTAAGAGGAAACCTCTCTTTACCCTAGATAGTACATGTTAGTGTGATTTTTCTTGTTAGTGATAGTATATGATACTTAATTGAATTTGTGCTTATTTGAAATAGGTGGAGAAAAGGAACAAGTAACAAAGTCATGTAAGCTCTTGGATGGATCATCAGAGTTTGTCCTCACATATGAGGATAAAGATGGAGATTGGATGCTTGTTGGAGATGTTCCATGGGGGTAAGAAATATTTCTTTCAACTTAGTGTTTTATAGTTAGTTCAAATCTTGACATCTATACAACAGAGTTACATGATATTTGTTGCTTGCACAAGTTGGTGACATAAGTATTTCGTGGAATTAATCAAAGTACATGCAAGTTAGCCTAGACGTCACAATTATAAGAAAATAAACAATCTTGGCTATAAGTCATTATCGTTATAAGAATCCATAAATTTTAAATTCTGGATCTGTCTTTGCTTACATGTTTGTTTGCATTGTCTTGTAGGATGTTTTTGAGCAATGTGAAAAGGCTAAGAATCATGAGGACTACTGAGGCCAAAGGACTTGGTATGTAGAACATGGAGAAACACAAAAGAAAATTGATCTAGTTCACTTAATTAGCAAATGATCAAATGAGACCACAGCTTGGAAAAACTATATATAGGGAAATAGTACAAGTAGAGAAGCAAAGAGTACACATTTTGGGGAGTACTTTCTTATAGTTCCAATTTTTGTTCTTGCAATTATTATTTTTTGTCTAATGTAAGCCTCATTCAAGCTAGCTAGTTCTTAAAACCCCTTATATAATTGATACACATGCTTGCTCGATCCTTTTATATTGTTATGGTTCTTTTCTTCATTATTTTGAGAATATTTTTTTTATTATTATTGTATTTTATTTTTGTACTATTTTTATATATCGAAACAATTTCTCTACCTTCACAAGGTAGCTAGAGATAAGACTACAGATACATCAGTCTACGTCGACAGATATGTTGTTGTGTTCCTAAGAACTCACATAACTAGATTTGTGAACTTTAAGTCCCAAAAATAACAAACGAAGACTTTTTTGACAACGTATAACTCTTGATAAGACTTATAATTAATGCTCATATATCTATGAATCTACATTTGTCGAATTGCCCATGTTATGATCTTCTACTTTTGAGTGTTGTCATTTTGATATTTGACTTATATTTTTCATGTAGCATTCAATCTACAACTTCATCTAATGAGTTATAGAATTTTAACAATGCAAAAGTTTGTAACATTAAACTTAACTTCATTATAAAATTAATAAATAAATATACCAAATATTATCTATATATATTTAATTTAGAAAATACCATAACATGAAGTGGTCGTGCCGGAGTGGTTATCGGGCATGACTAGAAATCATGTGGGCTTTGCCCGCGCAGGTTCGAATCCTGCCGACCACGCCACGTGTTAGTGTTTTGTACATTTTTTATTAATTTTTGCATATTAAAAGAATTTTTGTGATGTTATTTCGACCGTTTACTCCGGGCATGATCGTAGATAGAAGGATATGAAGATCATAGATTAGAGTTTTTGTACATTTTTCTTATTATTTTTTGCATATTAAAAGAATTTTTGTGATGTTATTTTGACCGTTTACTCTGGCATGATCGTAGATAGAAGGATATGAAGATCGTAGATTAGAATGGAAGATTAGTAGATAATCAAGTGTTGTCTCGCTTTCTTGCCGAATATGCTTGGGAATAGTTTGGTGTGTCGTATTTGTTTATCCGTTCATATCAGTATTAGTAATATTATTTTTGTAGTTTCTTGTCCTATGATTTATATTATTACTAGTTGTTTCTTATGCTTTTGCTATTGTTACTGCTCTCTGTCTTTTGATTGCTATGAAATGTTTTTTCTATTATTTGTTATATCTTCTTTAATTTTGTATTTTTCTTTTTCAAACTGGTTTGATGTATTACTTGAGCTTAGGGTCTTACGGAAATAAGCTTTGCACCTCCACAAGATAAGGGTAAGATTAGTGTACATCCTACCTCCTAAATCTCACTTATGAATTCTACCGAGTATGTTGTTGTTATTACATTTGGACAATCACCTCGCCGATGGTCTATCAAAACTACCCACACAAGGTAAGATTTGTGCACACTCTACCCTCCCCAGGCATCACATTTGAAATTATACTAGATATATTGTTCGTCTACGAAAAAACATTTAGGTTAAAGATAAGTTGTATACATTAACAACAAGTTTACATATATATAAAAGAGTTTAACAATCATTCCAATGATTAAATTCTACTTCTCGTGGTAACTACATACCAATATTATATCCAATTCATCAGATAATAATTTGTTTCTTGTTTAATCAAAAAATTGAAAGTTGACACCATCTTGACAGTAAAAAGCTAGTACCAAGTACTCATCCTTTGTGCTAATTTAATTCGTTCTCAATAGCCACGAGACGATCTATCTCTTGCATTGCCATATTCAGAAGGGGGGATTGAATATAGAATTCTCAAATTTAGTTTTGCCTTTCAATCCTTGCAAAACCATGCATTTCAAATTTGACACCATCTCCTCTGTTAAGTCGAAGAACGACAAAAGGCATTTGATCTCGATTACAACTATCCGTGGCACAGGATTGATACAAATTATTGTAATTGATTATAATTTAATAATTAATTTTTCTTTTTCAATTGATAGTATATATAGCATTTCTGGTAATATTTTGTAACAAAAAAATAAGCATATATAAATTATTGTACGTTACATAACAACACAAATGTTTAAATCTCTTTTATTGATTATAATTTCAAAAACTTTTTCAATAGAATCAATTGTTATAAACTATCAAAATTATCCTAAAAGTGTTTAAAATAAAATTAACACTTCACTCATTGAATATGTCAATTAGCGTATCATTTTATATATATATATATATAATATTTCATAATATTTTTAACTACAAAAATCTATATTATAATGATCATAAGACATTCAAAGTTAAGTCAATATTTTTTAATAATTTAATTAGTTTGAGTTTGAAATGTTTAATAAAAGGAAAAAGGTCTGAAATATATTTGAACTTTGACCGAAATTGTTGTAACAATATCGAACTTTGGAAAGGACCTTTTACCCCCTGCACTATTTAATAGTGTATTTTAAAGGTATATATGTGTTCACGTGGACATCATAAATATTGCATCATTTTAAATAGTAATGTGTCCACGTGGACACGTATATACCTTTAAAATACACTATTTAATAGTATAGGGGTAAAAGGTTCTCCATAAAGTTTGGTATCGTAACAACAATTTCGGTCAAAATTGGAGTATTTTTCAGACCCTTTTCCCTTTAGTAAAACATCTCAAAGAATTGAAGACAATTTAAAAAACATATAGTACTACTATATTGCTTTAATTCCTCAAATCTATCCTTATCCTTTGTAAATTTCTGAATTTGTGCTAAACTTTTACTCACTTGCACTATTACTTCGAATATAATATAACAATTGACTGTTTATTTAATCAAAATTAAAATATTAGGTAGTTAATTGTATTTTGATTTTTTATATGATCATGCGAAAGTGCGAGTAATTTCTCTAATTAGTAAGAAATTAGCACAAACTATTTAGAAAATTTTAAATATTACTCCCTCCATTTCTTTTTGAAACGAAGAGAATAGTAACAAATAGATACATAATTTTTTATATTCTACTTAGGTATTCTGTTTCATCAGATCTGGTCGTCTCTTTTATGTATACATCTCCTTCACATTGCTTTTGGTTCTTCGTTTAATCTTGCCTCTTGCTGAAATTTGTTTCTTTTTTGTGCATCTTCCCTCTCCTTTCAGTCGAGTCACTTCGTCCCTTTCAGGTGGAGATGAATATGTTGTTTAGCTTAGGACTAGGACTTATGATCCTTCTCTCAACGGTAAAACAAAAATCAAAAAGGAATTCTCCTAACCTAAGCAAGCTGCGGAATCACAGACAATTGCTCTCTTGACAAGCATAAGGCTCCAAGCCCTTTGTTTACGACTTCATTTCTAAATTTTTGTGTGTGTGGGGGGGGGGGGGGGGGGGGGGGGGTGTGAGGGAGCTGCCTTTGATGACATCTAATGCATTAGATAACAATATTAATCAAAAATTTGAAAGGCAGTACAAAGTTGGTAACTGATCCAAAAAGGCATTGATCTCGATTACAACTATCCATGACAAAGGATTGATACAAATTTCTATATATGATCATATGAAGTTCAATCTTCATATTTACAAGCTAATAGGTTTCTTTTTCTCTTTTGAGAATGGAAGTCACAAACAAGTAGCAGCTAATACTATAACATGAGTTCTTATAATGGGGAAGAATATTACTTCCAAGTTAGTTGTTGCAAGAAACTTTCTTCTATCTTCTCAGATAGTCATTGAACACACCTTGAAATCTAGGTTATGTGGACTAGATTCTATCATCAAGATTGTAAGTATTCTCGAGCAAAGGAAATAGGGAAAAGGTTCACCAACAACCGCACCTTCATCTGCACAAGAAATAATTCAACGTCAGCTGAATGTTTTAGCTAATATAGTTGTTAGTGACTACCACAAGTCAAAAGCTTACATGCTAGGTTCTCTCCAACATCACAAAGGTATAAGCATTGAGAATTCGAGATACTGATGTGCAAAACAAGGATATAGAACATGTAAAAAGGAGGTTACAACATTCTAAGTCCTTTTCCCGGACGTTCTATGAAGTTAATTTTACTCAAATAAAGTATATTATAATAGGGCCTCCCACCATATATGAAAGTGAATGAAATCGATACACAAAAAAAGATGTAGAGGACAATTAGCATTAAACAAGATCAATAATCATCAAGACAGCATACATAAGCAAGGTGGGTATATTACTATTCCTTATCAGAAAAGGCGAGTAGCACATAAAGTGAAAGTGGAAGGAGCCACAATCTTCATAAAAAGGTGAGGAAATGACATTTTACTGATTAGTGTCTTGATTGTTTTAAGATACTACCAGAGATGATTCGCAATCTGTTAAGGTACTTCAACTGAAACACTTGAGCACTCCTAAGATGAGAACATTACTAGTATTCAAAGTAAGCAAGTACTCCTAAATAAGGGACAGATAATGCTATTTCGTACTAAAGCAGAAAGAAACTAATCAAGATGGCATAGGATATACTTTCTTTAGTGCAGTTTGGGGCAATTAATATTTCAAATTTCAACACTTCTAGTGTGTATAATTCTTCACGGCTAAATCGGAAGCCTCTTTTTTTTATCCAGTAAAATTGGAAGCTCCTTAGTCATAGAAAGCAAAGAACAAAATGTACAATTAGAAAAAAGTAGAGCCAATATAGCTGTAATCTAGCTCTGAATAATTACAGGACATCTGATTCAAGATTATTCAAAACGGAAAATACTCTCAAATGCATTTGATATGCCTTTACGACTAATCTATCGTATGCATATTTAAATAGCTTGTGTCGATTCTACAATTGTAAAGAAAGGACAGTGACATGCCAAAGAGGTTGTCAGAGGCTCTCAGAGCTAGACGAAATTAAGACTGCCAGACATGAACAGAATCACTCTGGGAATTCAAAGCACAAAGGACTACAACCAGCTTATGCAAGACAGATGCAAAGAACAAAGACCACATGCAGCTACAGTACAAAGACGATCAATTTACAGAATATAATTGCAAAAGCAGCATTCAAGAAAATGTTATGATGACTGTCATAGTTCCAAACTCTAAATGATTTATGAACTATTATGGTTGCTTACCTTTAGTACATGATGTGCCGAAAATAGCTATGCTGCATCACTGTCAAAACTGCAACAGTTCCCATGAGGTAGTCAATTGCAGATGGCAAGCTTCCCTGTGCAGTCATCAGCCATTCCATAATCAATGCTGAGTTCCCTTAGGGGAGGGATATTCTCCATTGCAAAGAGCATGAGGTGAGGGAAAGATACACTATTATGATCATACAGCACAGGCTGTACTAGAACATTGGGGCTTGAACTGTGACTCATGTAACAGGCTAAATTCCTCATTCTAGAAACATCCATCGCAAAATCCAAAGGAGGAATAGAGGGGTATGCCGGTCGGACATAATTAGAATCTATTCGGGACAAATCTCCCCATTCCGCCCATCTCTCAGCAAAATGACTTGGATAGATTAAACTATCACCATTCATTGTAAATATTTGAGCTTGCTCTTGTGTGAGAACAACACCAGTATATTCACAAATAAAAGACCCTGCTAGGAGGAGGTCCAATGACCTAACTCCCCAACCAGTCTCCCTAGAACGAAATACTTCAAACCTGTTCCTCACACCTTTCTGGCTAACTCGATTCCAACAAGTTGGAGGACATGAACAATGTGGTCCACATTCAAAAATGACTGGTTTTCCTCTCAACAAGATCCCATTCGTATCATATGCAAACTGTCCACCATTTTTCATCGCGCAAAAGCACTTAGTCCCATTCCCACACCCATCGGTGCACTCACAACCTGAACCATTTCCCACATGCTGATAGACATATGGAGGAAATACAGTCTTCAACAGATAGTCATAACAAGCTGGATCACGTTCATTATCAATATCATTGAATAAAAATACAGGCACATTTTCCTTTTTCCTTGATATATCAAGAGAAATGTATCCCATGGGCCTTACCTCTAGTGGCCTTGTCCTAAGACTCTCTGCAAATCTAAGTACAGCACTTCCCATGTCTGGCTGATTCTCAATCCTAACAAGCTTATATTTGTACACTCCAAATCCAGACTTACCCACATCAAACCAAGATTCCGTGATTCTATACAATCCATCATACACGTACACTTTACCACTAGAACTACCAACATATTTAAAGCCACGAATTACCCTCACCTCAACTCCATAGTACATGCTCCTCTCCAATGCCAAATTCCCACCTTCCAACTTTTGATGCACAACTTGCCGTGAGTTCTTATCCTGTCCACCTTGCCCTGTATATATAATCACATCCCCAGCATCTTCATCATCCTCATACCCCCCTGAAGCAATTACACTTGTGGCAATTGGCTCCCCATTTGAGCTCTGGTTAGCAGGAAGATAATCAATCCCAGCTTGAGGCGTTCCATGTAATCCTACCACACAAAGCTCCATTCTATATAAGAACAAATCACCAACAAGCACTCCTGGAATCGGACCAACAGTACGCTTATCACGATTCAACCAAAGTCCATGCTCCCTCATCATTTGTGATGCCTTCAAGTCCCCCCTTGCTCTAGTCTGTCTGCCAGAACCCAAATGTTGGTTGTTTTCATCCTCTAAATTTACAAAAATCCGTAGAGAATCATAAAGCATTCGTGTCTTTCGAATCAGGTCACGGAAATATCGTTCATCCTCCGGTTTAAGATCTGTCACCCTAACCAACTCCGATGACCTCTTCTCATACTTCCTTCTTGTAATAACAATATCAGAAACCTGAGATTAAGTTAACAAATAAAAAATAGTCGATCCAATTCACAAAAAAAAAACTACTTGGGTCAGTAAGCATTACATCAAATTCATCTACAAAATCATCGTAAACCCAAATCAACTCAAACCAAACCAAAAAAAATAAATCATTTTATTCCATTTTTAACCCAAACTTCTTCAAGATTTGATTTAAAATCTCTAATACAAGCTAAATAAAACAACTCCTAGTACCTGTTCATTGCTGACAGGAACAATCGCTCGACAACCTGAATCCTCATTAGCTTCAACATCTCCATCTCTCTGTAAACTCTGAGCAAAAGCCGTTTGAAACAGCTCAGATATCCGATTATACTCCGAATGAACACCTGCCTCAATTGAGCTTGGAGTTTGAGAACTAGTAGCATTCTGCTGCTGCTGCGGAGTAGTATTTCTGAAACCTGAATTGTAACTGAAATTCGAATTGGGGTTTATCGATTGAGGGGTAAATTCATCAAGGGGTTCAAGTTTCGGTTCAATTTTAGGGAAAATCATGGTGGGTGTTGGAGTTTTCGGTTCAGTAGGGAAATTAACGTCTTCTAATCCAACAACAGAACCCATTTCCATAGAAAACTCAAGAAGAATTTATAGCTTTTTAACACAAATTAGCTCATGTAAGAAGAAAAATTTGAGAAAATTTAGGGTTTTTCAGAGAAATATTGAGATTTCTCCATAGAAATGAAGAAGAAGACAGAGGATTTGTCTGAAAGAGAAAATAAAGGAATCTTTTTATCTTTATTATTATAAATATATATACATAAAAAATCTATTTTTAAATGTATTTTTTTTTCGAATTTAAGCATCGAATTAGGAAATAAAGAAATATTATTTATTTTATTTAAAAGAAAAAAATCAAATATATTCGTGCTCCTATAATTTAAGAAAATAGATGAAATTTAATTTTTCCTTATGTTTAAGAAAGATTATCTTGATTCCTTTATACAATAGTCAAATTGATTAATATTATGAATTTGGACAGTTTTTGTAATAAAATGTATATATTTAGAAACTACATATAAGATATTATAAGCCACAATAATTAACAATTTGAAATATTTAGAAAGTATTTTTGTAAAATTATGATGAAAGAAAATATTCTTTAATTATTCGAATAGTAACTAAGATACTTAAATTAGAGCGGAGAAAATATTAGTTATTAATGCAATTAAATAAAATAAATTAAGAGGTATATCAAAAATTAAAATATTAAACGACATTTAAAATGAAGCGGAGATAGTAATTGATCCTTCGATTAAAGGGTTGAGTCTTTTTAAAGAGGAAAAGAATGTCTATAAGTTTTAACTTTTAATTAGGAGGTATTTTTTTTTATAATTTTCGCTTCTATAAAATTGAAAGTTTACCCAAAATGATAAAAGAAATTACCTTTTCTTTTATTGTTGAGTTGAATTGAATTAAATTAAATTTTAATATGAATATCAAACACCGAATGATATCCTTTTTAAAAAAACCACAATCCTCCTCAACTGTCATATTTACTCAACTACATATTTATATGTATTATAAATCTATTTATAATTTTTAATAAATTATTTATATTAAATATTTTCTATAATATAAGTATATTAGTTAATTTAAAATTATTAAATTCAGTTAAATTCATAATATATTTTTTTGTCACCCATTATGCACATGTCACAAGAAAAAGCACCCAACAAAACAAGAATTAATTCTAGTTATGTGAGGTTGCTCTCCTTGTTACATGTGCCTAGTGGGTGACAATTTATGTGTAGTGTTGGTACTTTTCACTTAAAGGATAACTATAACTTTTTATATTCATTTATATTTATTCGTCTTGAATTTTGCACGTTCTTTAAAAAATAAATAATGATTGATTAGAATATTTATATCAATTAATAATTTTTAGTTTTAAATATCAAGAAATAATTTGGGAAAAATTAATGCTGAGACATAAAAAAGGGATATGTATAAGTCAGTTTTGTAACGAGGTATATCAACTCTAAATCGTAAAATTGAAGGGTATATCAGATTATTTTTCCTAAAAAGAATAATATTTTTCTTTTAATATGTTAAACACAACAAATAAAAATACACATATATTTTTAGCGTAATGAACAAATAAAAATAAATAGAAGAATAAATTGACTTTTAAGTACACAAATTATGTTTGAGAAGACAAATAAAAACATAAAAACTAACCAAAACAAAGGAAGAATACAAAGTTATTTGCATCTTGATTTTATAAAGTATTATATTTTAGGGAAAAGGGCCTGATATACCCCTCAATTTTGTCATTTGGAGCTGATATGCCCCTCGTTATGAAAGTGGCTCATATATACCCTTACTGTTATACAAACGGCTCACATATACCCCTACCGTTACAAAATGAGCTCACATATATCCTTCATTTAACGGAAGTGAAAAAAGTTAGTTTTAAATTTATATTTTTGACTTTTAATTTGTTAAAAATTATTTAGCGGTATATATGATTCTTCTAGCAAAGTTCAAGATATATTTTAATCTTTTTCATACGTAGATTATTTTTGACTTCTTTTATTATAATTATTTGAGTTTCTTATTCTTATTTTATTTTTTTCTTTCATTCCTTAGTGTAAAGAAAAAAATTTAAAACTATTTTTTTGTGGCTATATTATAATTTAAAACTATTTTTTTTGTCTATATTGTAATTAATTTTTGTATTTGAAGAAAAAAATTTGGTCATCTATAATAAGTTTTACAAGAATATTAGTGAAACATAAATAAATTTGTCTATCAAAATAATAAATCTAAATTAGTCATTGAAAACAAAAAAAGTTAAAAAATATATATATGTTTGAGGAGGATTAAATATACTCATATGGAATTATATTTATTTTTTTAAATAATAAAAAACTAACTTGAAATTAATTTTTTTTCATTTTCGTTAGAGGAAAAGGGTATATGTGAGCCATTTATATATAAGTAGGGGTATATATGAGCCACTTTCATAAACGAGGGGTATATCAGCTCTAAATGACAAAGTTGAGGGGTATATCAAACCCTTTTCCCTATATTTTATTAGGAGGTTTTCTTTTGTACTTTTTGGGATACTAATAAAAAAGAATAATCTACTATTTATAAATAAATAAATAATTTTCTTATAATTTTTTAATTTCTTTTTGGAAAATTACTTGGCTAGGGACCACTTTCCTCTTAAGCCGGGAAAATTTTTAGTTGTCATCTCAGTTGGATTTGAAATTTCAGATTTTTGGCTCCAAATTTTGAATAAAGTGAAATTTTCGTACTGTATTTTGAATTTTTTGCAAAAGTTCTGTAAAATGAAATGGTCTGAAATTTGAAAGTACTCTCCTCGATAATCGGTTATATTAAAATAATAATGATATTTCATATCATCATCTTTAGATTAACAATAAAGTTTCACTGAATTTAAACCATCAAAGAGGATATTAGCAATGTGAACGATGTATATTGGATTTAGAAAGGAATCGAGCTAGCTTTTTTTCAATAGGAAAATGTTAACGGAGAAGGTGAAAATGACCAAGGTCTTGCCTAGATTGGACGTCACTTTTACATTTATTTGCTTCGTAGAGACTTGTGTGAAGACTTTTATGTCACAAACAAAATCATCCTTATACTCAGAATAGTTTAATATCATAGATATTTGACTTTTGATTATTATCTTAATACAATCTAATCTAAAGGGAGAATTTTTTTATATATAAAAATTTATGTAAAGATATTAAACTTTTATAACTTTAGTTTTACATATATTGAAGTGTTAGCTTATACATGTACGTAATATATATATATATATATATATATATATTTTGATGTCGTAGATTATAGTAATCAAAGAATAAATAATACATAGTATCTATTATACGTGAGGTGACAATCCCCATTAGGGACAACAAAATCATTTATTTTGAATTACAAAATGAAAATCCACCGAATTAAAGTAATATACGAATAATTTCTTAAATATATGCTCATGCATGCGTAAATTATAACAATCAGAAAGAAAATGAGATATAGGGAAACGTATCATCAATCTTTACTTGTGTTTGTTGAATGCAAACAAATACCCGGTGAAATATTTGATGTGCACGTACATAACACATGTCTATGGTTAGTCGAGTTAGTTTTAACATAGATGCAAGTATCCTTTGTCATGACTCGAACATCACCACCAACATATCCAATGAAATCTCCTCACAAGTGAGATCATGGGAGGATACAAAAGTTGTTTCAGACTTGAAAACCAACATTATAAATAAAAATTTCATCCATGTATCATCGATACAAACCCCTCATATACAAATTGTACCAACAATGTAGAACATATTCTTTCCATACCATTTTATGATACGTGTTTGGTTGAATACGAAATTTAAGAAAGAAACAAAAGCATTTGAAATATGTGATCTAAAACAAGTCATCACTCATTACTTCCTTTTCATACACCAGGCGAATTCCCCAGCAGTGTAGTTCTCCCTACTTCCTGTACAAATCATATACCTCCAACATGTAATAATCATTTGGATTCTTCCCTTCTTTATTGCCAAAACCATTCCACAATGTTTCAAATGGTATGTACCAGCAACAAATGAAAGGACCGATGAACCTCGAATATCGATGCATGCTGCTATACTTCAAGGAATATTTTCTTTCAGGGTCAGATTTGCAGACCAATGTAGCTTCTAATCTTGTGTACTGTTCAGCAAGACAGTAACATATCCAAAAACCCATGAATTTATCGGTATGCCAAGATGGGTTCAGATCAATTGACATCTTTTGTTGATTTATAAACCAATCATAATTGAACAACTCTGGAATTCTGTCTTGATCAGGGAAACAAATGACAAAATAATCCCTTTGATGGAAGTCACACTGCATGCAATAGAATATAAATTATTATTATTACTACTAGAAATCAATCAATTTGACGAGAATATTCAACATTCATATATGATGAGATAAAAACCTGGATGCATGTCCTGAGAAAATGCTGTAGGAACACATTAACTTGTTCATTTGAGACGGCTCCACAGTCTGATATTATGAGCCTACACAGCTTAAGAGAATTAATTACGAGATCTCTGATGCTCTTCAAGGCTAAATGATAATCTGCTAATAGCTCTTCTAAATTTGGGGGTAGCTCTCCTGGCAGTTCATTAAGATTCTGACAGAACTGTATGTTCAGGAAATGAACCCATGAGAGTTTGTTGATGTTTTTGGGTAAACAAGAAATATTGCTTCCACTTACATCCAACTTTTCCAAAGAGTGCAAAGATCCTAAATCCTCAGGAAGTCCACCCAATATGTTGAGATTACTAAGATCAAGTGATGTCAAGGAGGATAAACCTGATACTCGATGCAAGACGAAACTTGAGGAATATTGAAGTTGTTTTTCATGTGAGAATCTTAACTTCCACAGTTTGCCAAGCTTAGTGATGGAGGAAGGTGGTTGGGAGAGTGCAGTATCGCTCGCATGAAGTATCACTAGCTCTTGCAGATCACCGATGTTTTCTGGAAGCTTCTCTAGCCTTTTGCACCAATTGAGGAAAAGACGTTGAAGATTCATCAAATTACAGAGGCTGTCTGGTAGACTTACAAGATCTTCACAACGTTTCAGACATAGCTCAGTGAGGCTAAGCAGATTCCCAATGGATGAAGGTACTTCTCTTATCCCAGTAGAATTCAGATTCAGATATTTCAAGT